AAGCAACATGTTTTTTTCCCCCAAAACAAAACTTAATAAGTACATTAAAATCATAAAACATACAGTGTAATTAAATAGTGATTGTAATCAAAATTACGAGGTAAAATCACAATTTCTAAAAGCATTTATGAGCCTTATTGAGTATACAGAATATATGCTAAATACCAAGTGTATTTACAATTAATATACTCAATCAACTGATACAAAACATCCATCCATCCATCCATCCATCGTCAACCGCTTATCCTGTGTACAGGGTCGCGGGGGATACAAAACATTTTATACTCCAAATATTTTATTAATTTTGGTTCTTATCCTGTCTAATTTTATTTTTACTTCTAGTGATTGTGTTCAATTTACAACATTTAAGGTACAAGGTAGTTTATTTAAACGAAAAGAAAGTTTGTTGTCCCTTCATGCTACACACAGAACTTAACAGATAATTAAATGTGTATTAAAATATGGTAAACTTTTAAATAAAATAAAATAATACAATAGGCTCTATCCACTTATTTATATGTAAAGGCTACAGTATATACATACACATACACACCCAGAACATTCAGTGGATTTTTATTTCATTTGCGTGTCGGAAGAATGTGAACAGTAATTAAATTAGTTACTTAAAATTAATAAAATATAATAAATTCATTACTTATTAAATTAATTATTAATTAGTCAAACTTATTTAACTCTTCTATTACAATAACTTGGAAAACGGAAACGTATTTCGATATATCGTTTGAAACACAAATGAAAACTATAATAACCCAGCCTAAATATTTATGTTATTGTAGACAATAAAAAGTATTCACGTTCACAATATTCCGGCATGTAGTTACGCAATTTAACCACTGGATGGCAGCAAACACTCACGGTGTGTCAAGTTAAGACACAGAAGCCAAGCCAAACTAAACATTTCCGGTAAAACTTTCCAAAATAAAATGCTCAAATTACACAAAACGTTGACGCGGACTGGCTACGTGAATACGGATGTTACGTACTCCGAACACACGTAACGACGCTTTGTTCGTTGTAGTCACGTCTGTTTTTTTCCCCCCCGGCCGTGTGGAAGCATCGAAACATCTTGCCGCGATATTTCATCTTTGAAAAGACAGCGTCAGTCAGCGTCCATCACTAGCTTCAACAACACTTTGCTAACTTGTGTATTTCCACACTTTAATATCACGCAACCCGAGTTAACTCTCTCTTTCGTTTATCCCGGAGAAGAAGCGCGATAGTTTGCAGCAGTTTATGCGCCTCCAGCTGTCGTGCGTTTATTTACGTAGAAGTTAAATTAGCAGTCTTGGTCGAGAAGCTTCTTGTTGTCACCGGAATCTGGTTTCTTCTCCCTCCCGCCGCCTCATCCAGCTGGGCCGGAGACGGTAACGGTCGCACACGGACGATGGTTTTACTGAAAAGCCTCCGTCCTCCCACCGATGGCGTGCGGCACGAGCAAGCCGAGACCACGGCCGTGATGGACGGCCAGAAGCTGGGCTGCGGCACGCTGTACGTGGCCGAAACGTAAGTGACTCACGTGGCGCTCTGTTTTTCTCTTTAAACCACCAGTTTCGGGGTTAGTGTTACCAGTTATGTGTTATCAGTGCTTTAAATAGCTTTTATGTTGAATTATACTGCAGCAAATAAAGAATAATTACAAATTCACACTTCACAACACCTCCAATCCTCGTGCTAAACACTTCCGGAGTAGGCTCTTTCAAAATAATTGATTTGGTGTTCGTGTAGAGGTAGTCAGGTAGAGCTGACACGATTTATCAATTATTATTGTAGTCAGTTGTAAGAAAATTCATCTGCAACACTTCATTCATTCATTACATTGTTTATTTGTTGTTTATCAGGAAAAAAAATGCGTTTGCTAGTTACAACTTCTCAAATCTGAGGATTTATGTGACAGTAAACTGAATGACTGAGGATTTCACTTTGGAAATTAATATTGGGAGTATTCAGAGTTTTTATAGCTAAAAGAAGTAGTTGATTAATCTAATCAGTTGGTAAGGAATAGTTAGTTGCAGCCACACGATTAAGGCCTGGCAGCTAGAGCTGCAACAAATTGTTTGATTAATTGTCAAGTATTAAATTAATTACCAGCTATTTTGTTAATCGATTAATCGTTTTTCTGTAATTAAATAAAAACAACTGCAAAATTCTATGATTCCAGCCTCTTAAATGTGAACATTTTCTGGTTTCTTTACTCCTCTGTCACAGTAAACTGAATAAATTTGGGTTTCGGACAAAACATTTGGAGACATTTTTCACTCATTTCTGGCTCAGAAATGAAAATGATCGAGAGATTAATCGATAATGAAAAAAATAGTTTGTTTGCAGCCCTACGATCAGAGACTTGTTGGAAGTATTGGCTCTCACTTGAGCACGTTCTGCTTAAAAACAATGACTGAACTGGTCTACTGTAATGCACTTTACATTGGTGTTAACCAAGCGTCTCTCTTACGCTTACAGTCAGTACAAAACTCGGCTTCTCGTCTGTGAACTGGAACTCGCGAGCATGAACACATTAGTGCTCCACCAGTCCTGGCCTCGCTCAACTGGCTCCCGGTCAATTTTATAATACATTTTAAGATATTATCTTTTGTTTTTAAATCACTTAATGGGTCAGCTCCTCGCTCTATCTCAGACCTCTTACAAGTTTTACACCCCCTCAAGGTCACTAAGGTCCACTGATCAACTCCGGCTGGTCGTTCCTTAAACCAGGTTAAAAACCAGGGGCAACTGCGCTTTTTCAGCAGCAGCCCCTAAACTATGGAATGAGCTACCTGCACAGGTAAAAATGGCCCCGACCCTCGAAACTTTTAAATCCTGTCTGAAAACTCACTTTTACTCTCTGGGTTTTTACCCAGCATGAGATCTGTTCTGTTTTTGCCCTCCGATTGTTTCTGAAACATTTGTTTGTGTGTTGTCTTTGTTTTTATGTGTTTTTATGTTTTATTCCTTGTGCAGAACTTTGTAAACCTTTTTGATTTTTAAATGTGCTATATAAATAAAATGGATTGAACTTATTCCATATTCCACATTCATGAAAACTTATTTCTGCATGCCTGAAAAAAGTACTGAAATAATGTGACACTAAAGTTTTGTGCGTGTTTTCTTTTCCTCAGGCGCCTGCTGTGGTTCGATGGCTCGGGGATGGGTTTCTCTCTGGAGTATCCCACCATCGGCCTCCACGCCATCTCCAGAGACGTCAGCGCTTACCCACAGGAACACCTGTACGTCATGGTCAACGGCAAACTCGAGGGTGAGAGTGACGAAGTGAATGTAATATTTGTTTTAAAGGGTCAATCGATCAGTTTTTACCGTAGATACAAAAATGCTTGATGTCTGTCAGCAAACAAAGGAAAGTTTGTTTGAAGCCAAAATCTGCCGCTTACTGTTAAATACATGTTCATTTTAGTCTTTGGTGTCAAGAAAATCTTGTAGAAAAATATTTACCTGTATATTTGACTTCTGATACCTTTTACATGTTCACAAGACACTTCTTGTGAGGTGAACGTGTTCACATGAGATATCAAAATTATAAAAAATATAATAATTTTTATTGATACTTGGGCTGAACGATTTGGGGGGAAAAATCTAATTAAGATTTTCCCGCCAGATATTGCGATTACAATTAGATTTGTGATTGTTTCTTTTTTGTTTGTTTTTTTTAAATTGAAGTTTTGCTAAAGTTTAATATTCAGTGCCAGTCTATTTATGACGGAAGCAGCACAGAGCAGATGAACCTGGCAGGAAGTCAGACACAGAACGGCATGGAGAATCCAGTCGATTTTCAAAATAAAACACCCTTTGAAGACTTCCAATCTTACATCAAAAATAAACACAGTTAAAACAGACAAAAAAGAAACAATTTAACTATGTAGCCTACTTAACCATAGTAGAAGCACAAAAACCATTGACAACTGAACAAATAAGCAAAATCTGAGCAAGTCAGCAAAATCTGACAGGCAAAACGCTCTTATTCTGAAATGATCCTTGTGAACGGGCTTGCACAGAGCTGTTATCCGTAGTTGAAGCTCACAATGTGTAGGCTAAACGCTCCTCTGCTGAGACACTTAAGTGTGAGTTGACGCCGGCTGGCAACAAACGTTTTCCTCCAGTTTCGTTTGTTGTTGTAAAATGTACACGCCCTGTGCCTGCTGTGATTGGCGCTTGTGATTGGCGAGCAGATCTGTCGCACAAGGATGACAACGGCATGAATCTGTAACTACATGACTGTTTAAAACGGGTCAGATGCGCTGGATAATTAACCTACATTTTAATCGGCGTCTTCACGATTAGCAAACCGGGTTCGTTCAAATCTCAATTTGAAAACGATTAATCATTCAGCCCTAATTGAGACTGCGTAACGATCCGATTCTTTACCGATACCACTATCGATACTTTACTAGTATTTGGTGACGATTATTAAGACCAGACCCGATTGGCATGAGGTAGTTCTGCACGGCGTGAGGAAAATATTCAATGTGCCATAACATTGTTATATTGAGATGACATAACACTTGCAATAAATAAACTATATTCAAGTGTGCATATTAGCTGCCTGGTTATTATTAAATTATTTATAGGAACAGCAAAGTCACTATATATAAAGTCTATCTGACATCACAATAGTGAGTGATGTTTAAAAAACTCAGAGGCTGCAGCCTGATGATAAACAGTCCCGGGCCCGTTTAATACTGCGTTTCGGTGCCATTATTAGAAACATTAGCTTTCTTATCCATCGTGTTTCTAGTTAAATCCGATTTGACGCTCGAGACATAACTTTACTTTACAGGACCCGCCAGTCGATAGCGGTATCAATAAGCTCGAACCTTACTGATTTTCGGGTTCTAGATCCCCATCCCTACTGAAAACCGTATATATATTCTGTATGTGACGCACTGGACGCTGTTACAAGAACATTTACACCTGTATGAGTTTCTAACTTTATGTGCATCACTCGTATGTTGTCGCCTTTCATTCCCACAGATGAGAATGAAGCAGAAATGGCAGAGAAAGCAGCCGATGGTGAAGACGATGACGACGACAGCAGCAGCAGCAGCAGCGGCGGCGGTGCTGGCGGTGATGATGATGACGAAGGAGTGATCACAGAGATTCGATTTGTGCCCAGCGACAAGGCGGCACGTAAGTGAGCACTCAGAGAGAGAGGAGTGTATGGGGGTGCATTTTTTACAAGTGTTGAGCGTAAAGACATTCATAATATCAGAGAAATATAGCTGCGGCTGGATTGGCCGCAGTTTCAGTAAGTCTGGTGATATTCTATATTTATTCTTACTGTCAAACAAATCTCATGAATGTATCTACTAGCACAGACTTCATTTATTCATTCAGAGCTGAGTCCACACGTGGGGGATTCAGCAGCATCGTAGTAAAAACAAAATAAAGTTAGGTTAAATATAACTTTTTAGGAAATTAGTTAGAAGCAAATGTATGTTAACACAGGAAATTTAACAGAGTTTGAGTTTTCATTGGTAATTAGATACTTGAAATGACCGTGTGTGTGTTTTTATATGCAGTGGAGTCCATGTTCTCTGCGATGTGCGAGTGCCAGGCGCTGCACCCCGACCCAGAGGACTCGGACTCGGACAACGACTTCGAGGGAGAAGAGTACGACGTGGAGGAGGCCGGTGAGGAAAAACTCATAAAGATACACACAGAAACATCCGTACAAGTACTTTAATCAGTAAAACAAGCATCCGTGCAGAGGAAAGGAAAATAAAACTACAAACCTCCCTGTTATTTCCTTGATATTTCTGCTGAAGCCATATGAACACAAGTGAATATGTTTACGCCGAATGTGCATCCGACTCGGTTTCAGCGTCTGTTCTTCAGCAGCCACATTAATAAAATAGCTTATAGTTGTTTGAAAACATTGTTTGTGTTTTTACAAGCATAAATACTCGTCGTTTGCAGCTCATTTAGATGGTAACGTCCTCGTTTTACTTCTAAAGGTGCTTTCAAACCAAAAGCAAAGCGAGCGTTCCGGGCGGTGAGTTTACATACAAAGTCAATGCAAAGACGCGCAGAGCCGCAATTTCCTGTCGGGCGGTAGCGGCGAAGCGAAGGCAACGCAAAGGAATTCGCATGACGCTGAGTCGCGATATAGCCTATCAGCGTTGAGATTGTCCCTACGTCACCGACTGCTTCAGAGCGTTGTGTGGAGAGGGCCGGGCAGAGCGGGCGATTGAAAATCTGCTGGCCGGCTGAGAGCTGCTAAACTTGGGGGAGAGGAGCAGGGAGCAGCGCTCCAGCTTTCGGACAAATAAACACCCGTAGTCGGTCTGGATTATGCTCTGACAACTACGCCGTTTGCTCGCGGGAGGAGCTCGGAGTAAACTCCTTTTATATAATTGGCTTTTTACTTTAGTTTATGAGATTACAACGTTGATTTATCTTCACTCGAGCTTCTCAGCAGCTAGCTTCCGTGCACATCCGGTTCCAGTGTTGTTAGCGTCGTTAGCTCTGTCGGACTACGACTTCATATTTGTATAAAAACCGGACAAAACTGGACATTACTGGGAGAAAAGAAAGCGAGGAGGTTGAACTACCTGGTGAGTTCAGAATATGTGTAATATAACTTTATTCCATCGTTGTACTTTACTGTGACCAAGTTAGCATAGACCTGATCAATCCGAACTCCATTCAGAAAACAAACATTTTAGAAGTTGTTGTCCTGCTGTCTTGCTGACGGACCTGACAAAGCATGAATTCACATGTTTAACAAATCTGCATCATATTATATTTATTTCGGCATCAGTTTGATCCGTTTATTGCTATTTAATCACAGCAAAATGTTTACTTTGGGTTCATACAGCTGTCGTAGTGGCGAGTTGTGTTTATTCGCGTTGTGTGTGAACACTCAGCATTTGTCCAGCAATAAACCCCCTGTGAGGAGAGCATTGGCTGGATTAAATTCGCGTTTGGTCTGAATGCCGCATAACCCTGTGTCATAACTCATTTTAAATCTCACTATAGGCAACACAAAGCACTGCTGCTGTCACTAACCTGTATTTGTTCATGATCAGATTTTATCCTCGTTCAGTTGTCTGACAACAGAAACAGAAAAATATGTAAATGAGAAGAAATGCATCATGAATTCGGCTGCATAAAAACACAGCAACTGTGATCGCAGAGCAGGAGGAGACTGAGCTGAGGTTTAACTGCCGCCTCATACAAACATGCAAAATAGTTTTGCTACATATGTGTGAAGCTAAAGCAGAGACTAATTAAATTCATCACTAAAAAAATATTTTAAGTCATTTAAAAATAAACACAGGCATCTACTATAAATTCATATATTACATATTGTTGCTGGTAAGAACTCCAGTTGTAATTAGTTTTACCATAATGGAAGGATTTTATCGACTCGTTTGGGTTCAGAAACTTCTCAAGACCCCATCAGAAGTCAGAACTGCAGTTTTGTGCTGACAGTATAATTTAACGTGAAAAGGAAATGTTGACTCTCATTTCTGTTCTCCGTCTGTCTCTGTTTGTCCGTCTCTCCCTGGCTGTCTGGACTCTTTGGTTGCAGAAGCAGGTAAGACTTCCAGCATTCACTCACAACTAAACTCTTCTTCTGTTGAACATCTGTTGGACAATAACACATTCACATTTAGTATAAATACACATAATATTTTGTTTACCTGATGGATCTCGGTGGTGAAGCGTCGCAGGTGGTTCATGATATCAGTTGCTGAGATGGGAGATTGAGAGTTTGTCCTTTTTTATGCCTTTTAAATACATTTTCTTTTTAATTCCTGTTCACAGAAAGTTCTTGTTACGTTCTTTTGCTTTAGGTCGCTGAGTTAATGTTGTGGTTAAGCTGCTTTGTCTGTTGCAAAGTCCCAAATGTCGTTGCTAATGATAATAGCAAAAGTTTGTACTTTTGTTTGGCTTGTTTTGCCTTTTGTTTTATTAATGCTGTGTGATTTTACGTTTGTTGTTGTTTATTGTATTGCTAATGGGGATCAGAATTAAGAATATTGCTGTATTTAACATTTATAAGTGGTATATAAACATTTAATCAGTGCGTTATGACACGCTTCAAGAGGGATCATGTAGTAATGCAAGTAGATATAATAAGTAATGTATTTGTCAATAACCATCTCCTGTAGGCATCTTTAACTGGGGGCTTCTGTATAAACAGATAATGACAATATATTAAAACAGTTTTACTACTATAAAATGTGCTCATAGCTGTGTACAACTATATTAAATGTTAATATACGTCTCATAATATCACATTGCTGCTGTTGTAGTCACCGTCTCTCTCCTCCTCCGCCCAGAGCACGGTCACGCTGACATCCCGAGCTTCTACACCTGCGATGAGGGTCTGTCGGCGCTCACGCAGGAGGGCCAGGCCACGCTGGAGAGGCTGGAGGGGATGTTGGCCCAGTCAGTCGCTCAGCAGTACCACATGGCCGGGGTCCGAACCGAAGAACCAAACGCACAATTTGAAGGTTTGAGTCAAACACACACAGCAGCCTGTTTTTTTTCTTTTCTTTAATAATTTATTTATAACTCTTTGTATATAAAATTAAATTATAGATCAGGAATTCCCACTCGACAGACTTTCCTTCCATGTATCTGAAATATTTATCCCCAGTTCTTTACTTCAAGTTTTTCTCATATCTACAGCTGAATATTGAATGTGTTCATGAAAAAGAAATGCCTGGAATTAGGTGACATTTATAAAATATCAAAGAGCAGATGTAGAACAGAAAGACTTTCAATATAATCTGAAAATAACAGAAAATGTTACTTAATAATTAGTTAATAAATGTTTCAGTAGTTGCATATAATTGTCCTTAAGCTGATTAAATGATGCACATTTTCCATCAAAAATGAATGACTATGGCAAATTGATGAAAACTCTGTAACAGTTGATAATCTGAGGACATTTCTAACTTGTTTTAGGACAATGAAACTATAACTTATCATTGCGTTTACTTAGTTTTGGGCTTTAGTTTACTGGCCAGTAAACACCGAAGGGTACGGCTCAACTTGCTTGGAACAGTTTTTTTTTTTCTTTTCTCAAAAGTAGTGGATAGTACCTGGTACTTTTTTGTTTTTACCTCGACTGAAGTTCCAGGCGAGCAGAGTTGATACTGAAAGAGAGAATTTTCACTGGAATCAACACTTATGCAACACAGGACATCCGGCACAAACCCTTCATTTTTTAAATAACCAACCTACCATCAATAGTGATCTAAAAAAAACAAACAAAAAAAACAGATTTTATGAAATGGCAGCCCGCAAAACCATTCCATGATTAATTGACTACGTCTAGATGTTGCTCTCTTTGGTTGCCGAAAGGGGTGGGCTATTCAAGGGGTGTGACCCATCCATGTGTCCCTGAGGCGTGCAACCTCTGACACATTGTAAGTCGCTTTGGATAAAAGCGTCTAATGTAGGGAAATTTTTATGTCCCCATATAAATGATAAAATTATAGGATCTGAAGTTTAAAAAGGGGGGAACGATCTTGGGTTTATTTAAAAAATGGAGAGAGGGAGCAATTTCCACACTTTCAATACTTTTAATTCTGTGACAAATTTAGCTTGAATGTAAGATTTTGATCCTTCTGGTTCATGTTGAATTGGGACTGGGAATAACCTCTTACTGTAAGTAACATAGTTACAGAGAGAGAGACAGGAATGTGGATAAATATACTATATCTGATGCTTATTTGGATAAATAATATAAACAATTTGACAAGATTTTGTTTATGGAATGCTGTGATTGATATTTGTTCTGAGTGTATTTTTTGTTGTTGTTAATAGATGGTATGGAGGTAGATGGAGCAGCAATGGAGGCCGGTCAGTTTGAGGATGCAGACGTTGAGCACTGGTAACAATGAAACTTCACGTTAAATAAAATATTTTATAAAAAGCAGCACAACACAATACTAATAAACTCAATCTGATTGTGACGGATTGTTCTCTGCTGTGTGCTGTCTGTCTCGTTCATGTGTTATCTGACTGTTTCTGTAGATTGATGTCATCTCAGCGGCCAATCTAAGCACCAGTGTTGCATCATGGGATTGGAGAAGAGGACAGCGACACTTCTTTTAAGGCTATCAGCTCTTTCTTGTACTCTCTTCCTGTGCCAGGCACTTCTGTTCTCGCTGTCAAACAAACCTTTTGCCCATGTACTTAAAAGTCCCTGCAGTCTTTTGTAGCTTCCTACATATTTGCTCTTATGTGTTGCTTTGGCGTTCTCATGTTGCATTGTGGTGTTGGTTTTCTGCTCATCCTCCTGTCTCCTCCATATAATATTAAACTTTATTTTTTATTATATGAACAAAGTGTGCTGTTCTGCACTTCTGTGATGCAACCAGCTACTGTAGACTATTGTGATGCATCCCCACATTGCCCTTATGCTATTCCTGGCCGTAAAAACAAAACATAGAGTTTCTGTTTTGTACCTAATGACCAATTTAATATCCGACTGTCTGTCAAGAAGAGTTAATTTCTTTGTATGAAATTGTCAATAAATTCATAGTTTTTGTATGAGTATTTTGCTTGATTTATTATCGTTCAACCGAGATTTAAAAGCTTCACTAAACAAACCTACAGAGAATTATTACTAACTCAGCTCCACTTTTTAGCCTCGTTTATGTCTTGGTTTTATTTGTCTTTCCAGCAGCAGGTTTTTTTTTTTAAATCAACCAACCTCTGGTAAACCCACTGCACTCTTCCTGCGCAGTCGGAGACTAACTGGTGAGAAAGTGAAGTTTGTGGAGCCCAAACCAGAGCTAAAAGTAGTGAATATTGGACTTAAATTCATGAGGTGAACACACAATGATAATGTTGATGTTGAACTGTTTGTTAGATGTGTAAATGGGCAACTTTTTTAATATGTTCACCATAACAAGCATACACGGTGATGATATATCCGCTTCCTGTTTTAAAATAAGTTACTGTAGCTTTAATATAAATCAAAAATATCTTTAGTAGACGGCAGCAGCAGATGAACCACTGGCAGAACAAGACAAATGCAAGTTTTGTATTTGAGCTTTCACACTGAGGGTTACAATATGTACTTCAGGGTTTGTGTGAGCAGATTGTCTATGGTTTTAAAACTGTGATTAGGTTAATAGAGGTACAATAATCATAATGCAGGTCTGACTGTATCTGTCAGCTGCACAATTAGTTATTTTGCCAGATGTGACTGACATAATGTTGATGGTTTAAGGAGCAAAATTATTGAAAACATTGTCTCAAACATCTTAAATATTTCAATATGGGGCAACTGTGCAAATTAATCTTTTAGTAAGTTTGATCTTTTTTTATTGATTAATTTGTCAATAAAATTAATTATGTTTTATAATTAAATGATAAATTGTTTTTTATGAAAACAATAAAAATAGTCCATCACAACTTCCCAAAGGCCAACACCCAAAAAATTTACTTAATCAAAATTGTTTTGTTGTCTTTCTGTTGATTGGCTAATCAAGTTTCAGTCCTACTGTGCACCATTTAGACATGAAAATAAACTTAAATATGTCAATTTAATAATGGGATCCGACAAAACAGCAATTACACATTTTTATTTGCCTTTCCAGTTTTTACAGAGAATTCTAAGGCACCGGTTTAATCTGTGCTAACATTGACAAAGACCTTTGTACAGTACATGCCTACGCTGTGCCTGACTCTTGTCACATTAAGTATAACATTTATAATATATATAATCTGTCTGTGAAGCACTTTGTTAAGAAAATGCTACACAAATAAAGTTTATTGTCATTAGTATCACAGAACATCAAATCCTGAACTTTTCATTATAAATATTTCAGTTGATTCATTGATTAATAATAAATAAATTGTGCTATTACACAAAAACAATACTTGGCTCAATGTATATTATTGCAACTACAATCTTGTTTCATTACCAGATATCAGGCTGTGTGGATCCTGTCTGATCCTGAAAATCAAATTTGATTCCATATCTGCCTAAAACTCATGCAAGTACAAGGCAAACTTTCTTTTGTTAGTTATAAATGTTAATATTCCAGTGACATTTTCTGAACAGTTATAGAGGTGATCCAAAAAAAATCGTTTGAAGCGTTTACAGGTTTTGAATCGGAATCGGAGTGTAAATGTAAAAAAACTCATGCATAGACATTATTTTTTGTGTTTGACCAACCACCTCGTTAAGGAAAAAGCCAGTCAATTTGCATGCCCTGTCCCAGTTCTGTCTTAGACAAAAACATAACAAATTAGTGTCTTTACTTTTCTGTTTAGCTTCTAAGATGTGCTCTTCAGGTGAAATCATCCAAAAGACTTATTGTCTGGATTATCACAGTCCATTGTGGAGGGGGAAAAAAGTTCAGGTTGAGGTCTTTATAAAAGAGCATGTCAGTGTTGTTCTTCTTTTTCTATCTGCTGACGACTGAAATCAGCAGCAGCTTAACAGTCTGTCAGAAACAAAATCTCCACGTGTGCTCTGGGTTTGCACGGCCGCCCGGCAATGCTCACGTCGTCTTCTTGGTCTCCAGCGGGAGAGAAAGAGACGGGGATTTCCTCAACAGCGAAGGGACGAGTTTGTCAAACAGCAGCACTGAGCTCATCATACCTGGAACAGCAAGACGGTAGAAGAAGAGACGAAGAAGAGGACCAAGAAAAAATGTTTATGTTAATATTTAGAGAATATTTGATTTGCTTTAACGAACCAACTTAATTTGATAGAACTTCAATCTACAGTTTACATCTCTTGATATTTCACAGTATGATACTAATGTGAAAGAATGTGGAAAGGGGGTGTTATCTACTTCTTTATCATTGTGTCCTTTGTCTTGTACAAATGATTCATTATCTGTGTATGTATGTATATAAATCAGTATGTTTAAAAGGTGAATTATGTTCCTCAGAAATTAAGTGGAGTTGAAGTATTGTAATAATAACAATAATACATTTTATTTCTATAGTGCCATTCAAGATACTCATTGTGGCAGTGAAGCAGGTCTGTAAGGTAGGAAGGGGCTTGGCAATAGACGGCTTTGTGCATGAGGAGGAAAATTTTATAATGGATGTGAACAGGTGGAGAGTAAAAAAGCAGAAAAGTAAATTGCTTCAAAATTGTACTTCAGCAACTCTCCACCAACAACAGGGATCTGTATTCACGCTACTTTTATAATGATAAGACAACTGATGTCGTTTCTGAAATATAGGGAGATACTTAATGAGCTGTTGTCAGAGAGAAAGCATGTTAGTCTTTGTGCATGAAACAAATCAGTCATGAGAATTTAACATTTAAGCAGCTTATCAGATTTGTGTCAACACTTTCAACACGGCGGCCAGAAGGCGGCCAGAAAGAGACAGTGACACACACTTAAACACAGAACTGCTTGTTCCCAGACTGACTTCTTATCTTATTAGATGCTAAAAACTAGACCAGTGCTGTCATGTCGGTTGTCTTCTTTTGAGTTATTGCTCTGTCTGTAAAGGTTCTCAGTCATCCAGGTCATAGTTCTCCAAGGAAGATCCTTGAAGATGTTTCATTTCTCATCCGAGAGACTTCTCACAGTTCTGGTTCTGGAGGGTGTTCATCCAAAACTGCTTAGCAAGATCATCCAGGTCCAGAACTGAGGGAGTCTCTCGGATGCGAAACACGAAACATCTTCGAGTATCTTTAACCAAATCTAGTTGCCTTGATGTTAACCTTCTTAGGAGACCTCTATTATGTTTGGTGGCTTTCATCAATACATGGACCTTTTTTAAGTGTTTAACAAACTTTCCACTCAGCAGCAATAATGTTACGTGCTAATAATAATGATCCAATAATACAACATGGACAGTGGCCATTTTGCATAATGACTATTTTTACTATTGATAATTAAAGTAAATTTTGTTGCTAATCCTTCTGTACTTCTGTAACCTCAGTGAACGTTTGAAAGCAGGACTCTTCCTTCAAATGGTTCCTTTTACCTAAATAAATTAACTGAAAGCTTTATCCGCCGCTGTGTACTTGTGTCATATCTGCTGTGTTTTTATTGTGTGTTTTGTTAATGTTGTTAGGATGAAAACGTGCTTTAACATGTCCTTTGGACTAGATTGATGCGTCTCTAAATTTCAGAACGTGATAAAAAGATGTCAGTTCATTTCCTCTCAATTGACTAATCGATTGATTGACTTTCACCATTCATCAAATGAATATATGCTGTGCACAGTGTTGGTGAGCATGTCACAGGGTTTCTGCAGCCTTCACTGATTAAAAATATGTCCTTTTAAAGACATTTCTATATAATTTAACACCTGTTTCACGGTCATATCGGCCAAAGTATGAAAGATGAATTTAATAACATCTATATACCATTTTTGTCAGGACTTCTCAGCAGGATACAATAATGACTAAAAAATTAATAAATAATTTTTTCAACAAGATGAAGAGATGGATTAACCAATTAAAAATATAAATACAATTAATTTATGGTTTACACATAAATTTCACATAACGTCAGACGTATGAAACAACTAAGCTGAGTTTTCCAGCCCCATTTTACTAAAATCAGATATCTTTGAAGGCCTTTTATTATTTTAGGACACTGAAATCAATGCTTTTTAAAGACAAGCACTGCATCTGATATCAGCATGCATCAGTGGGTCTTACCCAGCAGCGGGCCCAGCCAGTAGACCAGGCAGTACTCCAGGAAGGAGTTTCCACTGCAGGGGAACTGTGTGGAGAAGGCCAAGGCCGGGTTAAACACAGCTCCTGTCATGCTGCCACCTGGACACACACACACACACACACACACACACACGCACACGCACACGCACACACACACACACACACACACACACACACTTGTATTAATGAACTTTTAAAGACCCAAACTGTTCATTTGTGTACAACTCCTAAACAAACAAGTTTTCAGTTTTTCTCAGTAGAAAGATATATTGTATTATATATTCATTATATATAGCAAAGAAAAGATGGCATACAGAGAAAATAGTTTTAATCAGTTGCCTTATAAATTCTCAGTGTGTCCCCATCAACACTCAGTATATCTTCCTTCCTATATTTCCTCAACCTTTCCAAAGTAATGTCAGATTTTTGACAGCAGTTATGATCAGTCAGATAGATAAACTTGAAGTCATTCAAAGGTTAGTGTTATGGTGTTAGAAGTGGAAAAAAAAATATGTGGCTGTACAGCTCAGGAAATCATTTCATCGCTGTAATCGGTTTCGTATTTGTTCGTGAGAAAGTTCTTAGAAGAAACATGAGATGTTTGTACAAACACTGTAGTGCTTTATACAAAGCAAATGATGCATCGGGCTCTCCTCTATGAGACACAGGAAGATTTACAAACTAGTCTGTGATGTGATCTGTTGGTTCTCTTCAACCTCACTAACTGGGAGTATGGCTGTTTTTAGTTTACATGTATTAGTTTGTTATTGTGAGTGGGGAACATTCAGCTTCATGACATTCTTTTGGGCATCATCACAACTTTTAATTTGAATAGTTAGCAGTTATATTAGCAGTTATATTATCAACACCTACACACCACAAACAGAAAACATTGTGGATCATGTGCACAAGAGAAGGCCCACATAGCCCAACAAATCTCAAGTGTGTTGTTAATTTTGAGTATTTTGTTAACAGACCTGAAGCTGAATTAGAGACCAGCTAAAAGTGCCAGTGAGCAAGACACTGAACCTCAGACTCACAGAGGCTGACCTCTGACCTCACATCATCAGTCTAATAAACACTGCAGTTGGACTAATCGATTAGAGTCATTGTCATACCTGCATAAACCACCGTTGCGATGACCGCAGCTACGGCGTGCACGCGGTATTTCTCCTCCCGATCTCGTGTGCGTAATAGCAGTCTGAACCGCAAAAGCGCATGCAAGCTCCACGGCGGCAGCATTTGGCAGCGGTGCGTGAATGGGGCTCACGCACTGGTAGCCCAGTAGCTTGTGGCGCACGTGCAGTCCCGACAACCCGATACCCCAGATCACCGGCACTGCGACTCGCGCAGCGGCGGCCGCAGCGAACTGACATGCGATCCGCCGCAGGGCGCATCCGCCCGAGAACCTCGCGCGGTACGCGTGCTCGAGCGTACCGGAGGGGTTCCCGATGGCCCCGCTGAAGGTGAGCCCGTGGATCACGGACGCCAGGTACGTCAAGGTGAGCGCGAGTCGAGGCTCGATCCCGCCCACCTCGGACAGCAGCTTTAGCTCGTGCGTGCAGCAGCACAGCTGGAAGGTGGACACAAGCTCTACCGCGTACACAGAGAGCCCGGTGTCCGCGAGGGCCCTGGTCAGCACCTTGCGGGTCGCATCGCTCAGTGCGACTATTCCCGCGAGCACCGCCAGAGACACCGCCACGTCTGCAGTCATGTTCGCGGCCGGTCCGCGCTCTCTGTCGGGGATTGGATGTTCCCTCAGCTGCTGGGAGACTCCGCTGTGAGCTCCGAGCCGCTGATGCCCCTCTCCGGCCTGAGATCTTCTCTACCGCTGAATCTCGCTTCCTCTGGCGGTCGGGAGCCTCAGCTGTGCGGGCTGCTGCTACTCTATCCCGAAGGATGCGGCGTTCAACCAGGAGCAAATGAGCTTCAGTCCCAGTAGCTCACATGTGCGGAAGTATGAGCTCCGCAGTTTTTCCCAGTTTTCCCACCTCCTCCCTCTCCTGCTGAAATTGCGTCTCCTCTGCTACCTCTCTTCGTCATCTGACTACTTTAGTTTTAATTTTGAGCTTCCAGTGGGCATTTTCATTAGGCCTATAATAGAAATGTTAAATCATATTTGTGACATTGTAATTATTGCCTATTGTCCTCCTCATTTCTCCCCAGTTGTGGGCCGATGCATGTGTGCAGCCCATGAGGCAGTGTTGTGTCGATTGAGATAATTCTGAGTATTACACAACTGATAGGCTTACTTTACAAGAAATTCAATTAAAACATTTAAGACACACAGTTAAGCTAAAACAGTAAAGTGCCTCTGTACGAATCAGAAAAACTCAAATGTATTTGTTCCAGATAAATACTTGTTTAAAAATCATTATAAAAAGTATATATACAAAGGTTGCCCCTTGACTGATATAGACTGTAGATTGTTTAATAACAATTATTGTATTATTATTATTATACATAATTATACAACACTGCTAGATACAACAACATAAATGCATAAACTCAATCTAAATTCCTTCACAAACAAACATTAAATCACATAATCATTAGATTTAAAAAAAAAAAAAATTGGTATCCAACGAGATTAAAAATAAGTAAAATGATTTAAAAAGACACCTTAACTGAAAGCAATGTTAAAAGGTTATTTACTGAAATAAAATAATTTAATATACAAAACCAGCTAATACAGAAATAACGGGACATCTCTATGATTTCATACCTTCAATAACTGTTGTCTTATAATTTCTACTATAATTACAATCATTAATTATTTCACCTCTTGGATTTGAGATTATTATTTCCCTTAGAATCAAAAATGATAAAATCACATACACTGAGTTCATGCAGTTTGTTTGTTTTGATGTGAGATGCTCATTAAAGATATTTAATATTTCTCTCTCTCCGTCTCTGTATTTCAAGTTCCTTCAAGTTCAAATGTTTATTAATGGCTAAAAACTATTGTTTCTAATTCAAATATATAACACGCTGTATTAAAGATAATGAGGAATGAGTACTTCATTAAATAAAGGTGATGAGTAAGTATGAATATATGCATATTAACCCTTTGTCTCAGCTGGACATGACATAGAGCTTATGAGGGGAGTGGTGTCGGTCTTTGCACGACACTCACAAGGAGACCTCAGAGCAGAATGGCTGCAGTCACAGAGCTCTCCTTCCTGCTGTTTGCTCTCATCAACAACATTGATGCAGAAGAACTCATCATCATCCAAGAGGAAAGGGGCTCTTACATCTTCAACCCCAACAAGGAGGCCGACTTCTGCCTGATCTCCAGATTTTGTTGGTGAGGAGAAGCTTGTCCTGTGGAATACCTCTGACCTCAGGTCTGTGAACTCCACAGTAGCCGAAGACCTGAAACAACGACTTTCAGTGGTCAGCAGGGAGAATATTTCTTCTTACATGATTCACAGCCTGACCCATTCAGACTCTGGCCAGTACCAGGAGGAGTGTTGGACTGAGGGCAAAGGGACATATGAGAAAAACCTCAGTATTATTATTTGTAGTACAATAGATGAGATAATATTTTATTCCAGTGGGCTTTGAGGGAACAGCGGACCTGCCATGTGTGGGAGCGGCTGACAATCTGGATATCCAGTGGCTCAAGCGTGACTTTAGATATAAGGAAGACATATGGACAAGAGTTTTGGGGGACAGGACGAAATCAGTGATGGACAATGTTACAGTGATGAAAAACAAAGCAGCTCTTCATCAATCTAACCTCAACCTACAAATCTTTACATTATACACCTGTCTGGTGATGAACCAACAGCAGTGTGTTAGCAGTCACCCTCTACAGTTTTCTCTAAAACCAGAGATAATCTACCGCTCAGTGGAAGAGACAGCTGTGTTGCAGTGTGCTGTCACTGATTATAATGATGACCAGCCCCCACGCTGGACAAAGTTTGATTCGTCCACCTCCTTCAACACTGAGGTGGACCAAAACTACTCACTGGTGTTTTCATCTCTAATGCTAAATCACTCAGGTTTGTACTCCTGTAAAGGCTATATCAGTGTGCAAACATATTTTCTGTTGGTGTGCCCCAAATTAGTCCAGCCTGCTGTAGAGTTCTTCTCAGAGGGAGATGAAGTCACTCTCAGGTGCAGAGATTGGAGACAGGGTATGGGACATACTTGGTTCATGAACTCAAACCGAACAGAAGGCAGAAACTTTAGTGTATTAGATGTTATGTCTCATCTGAGCAGAGTAAGTATAATTAACCCTGCTTCCACCTTGGTCATCTCTAATGTCTCAGTGGAAGACACAGGAGAGTATTGGTGTGCAGTTATAGGCCCAGATGATCTGTGTGAGTCAACAAATAAGATTCTTCTGAAGCACAGAGAGACCTTTGGGATTTACTTCTACATAGTGAGGTGGTCACTGCTCAGTGGTCTGCTGGTGATCCTCTGTGCTGTTGTAGTCGCTGTGACCCAGAAGACCAGGAGAGGAGGGGAGCGTCCAGCTGAGACAGAGGGTTAATATGCATATGTTCATACTTACTCATCACCTTTATTTAATGAAGTACTCATTCCTCATTGTCTTTAATACAGCGTGTTATATATTTGAATTAGAAACAATAGTTTTTAGCCATTAATAAAACATTTGAACTGGAAGGAACTTGAAATACAGAGACGGAGAGAGAGAAAGATTAAATATCTTTAATGACCATCTCACATCAAAACAAACAAATTGCATGAATGTGATGTATGTGATTTTATCATTTTTGATTCTAAGTGAAATAATAATCTCAAATCCAAGAGATGACATAAAAGATGGGAAATAAATAAAGAGAGTTGTAATAAATAAATTTTTTGATGTCATATTGATAACATGGACATAAATAATGTTTGTAATAATAATAGCAAATAATCCTACTAAGACAACAGTTTTTGAATGTATGAAATTATAGAATTGTCTCCTTAGTTTCTGCAGTAGTTTGTTTTGTATAGAAAATTGTTTTGTTTTTTTTCTGGTGTGGATAAACACGATTATAGGGATCATTGCTTTGTACTGACTCCAGACACTGTTATGTTATATTTTTCAGTAATTAATCTTGCTTTCACATAACGTGTCTTTTAAAATAATTTTACACATGTTTATTTATCCTGTTATTATACCAATATTTTATTTTAAATCTAACGATAATGTCAGTTAATGTTTTACTGTGTCTGAAGGAATTTGAGTTGTGATTTTATGCATATAATTGCTGCATCTAACAGTGTTGTTAGTGTTTTATAATTGTTATACTTTGATCAGTATAGGAGCAATCGACTCTATAGTAAAGATTAACAGTAAACAATAAAACTTACACAGTTTTTACCGTTTTGATTGTGATTTTTATATTTAATTTCTTGTAAAGTATCAGTTATTTAATATAATCTTAAATTGTATTTCAAAATGAACTATAGTATTGTATTTTACTGTTTATTGTTAATCCATGCTGCCTTTTAATTGTTTGTGTACACAGGGACACATGTAGCCTGTAAGTAATGTAATTCTCCAATTGCACTAAATAAAGGTTACAGAAAGACGTTTGCACACATTCAATCGTAATATTCAGGGCAGGTGCAGGATAGATTTAAGCTCCCAAACCTTTATTTTGACTGAACAATCAACATTTTGATCTTAAAATCCATCAGGACGGGGATCTAAAAACACAACGCAGGCCAACACACTTTAACTGTCGGAGTGAGAGAATACAGAGCAATCCTGAAGAGCAAAATTGTTAGAAAGCGTCAATATAATATAATAATATATTATTTGAGGAGAACTGCCTGCTGAGAGTGTCATGCTTTACTTGGGCTGTTTGTGTTTTCTTCTACAAGTTTCTGATGCTGTTTTAAATTGTTGATAGAGACGACATCATGAAGCAATTTGAGGACACCGTCTCCTTTTCAGCACACATCTGGTAAAAAAAATTTCTACTGCAAACATTCTTCTCACAGCAACCCATTTTGGCAACAGCACAGAACTTCCCACTTTTGCTCTCTATCTCAAAGTAAATTAAAATATGTAAACACAGTTAATGTGATTTTTAAATCTAACAAAACACTGTCAAGCAGGTGGGTATGAGGTAGCAGGGGACATATATTACATTTGTTTATGCTCATCTCCCTGTCTTATCTGTGTTTGAAGACATATTAGCCTCTGTGGTTTTGGTTCCATTTCCTCTCACATTTCCCCTACATTTATTTCAAATGTCCTTCAGTTTTCTGCACTAAGTTGATTTAATCAAAATTCTTACCAAACCGCCTTGAAAGCAAATGTGCACGTTTTTGAGCAGCAGTCTACCTTTTAGCCATGCTCAGGCATGACTGCTCAGAGTGTGGCTCTGGTGGCAAAATCAAAATATCTCAACAACCATTAGATGCCATGACATTTGCTTCAGATATTTCTGTTTTCCTGAGGATGAACTGATCCCTTTACTTTTCATGGGTAAATTTGTACTTTGATTATGACAAAAAAAAGAAATTCCCTCATCCTCAGCTGTACTTCATGTTTAGAGCCTGATTTACTAAAGGTTTGCTTGAGTAAAAACGTGTTCAAACTTGATATCACCAGCAAATTAACACATAAGCTGATCTACTGCGTGTGCACGCAGAATGACGTCTTTTAAAAGTACAAGATAGCACCTGTTCATTTAGTACTTTTGACTTAATGAATTGCAATTTGGGGGTTTAAATGTTATTGTGCAAAGTATTTATTTTGTATTTTCCTTTAGCTTTGTCAATACTGTTGTATTAACATTCATGCCAGTAAAGCAAATTTTGTTTCGAC